GGTCTCTTCCAACCAGAACTATTCTGTGGTCCTGTGATCCCTTACAAAGGGGGTGTGTGATGTGCATTTTTTGGAAAGAGATGAACCAAGGGGAGGGAGATGCTTGTTCCCCACCTGCAGTGGCTGGTCTGTGGGGTTGGGCTCAGGGGTGCTGAGCACTCACATGCTCCCTGTGCCCTGGAGGTGCTGACTTGAACATCTTCCTGAACTCCTGGATGTGTATGGAGGGTTGGAGGCCAGATTTCCTCATCACTCACTCAGAAGAACATGTTCTTTAGCTCCTGCAGCCCTTGTTGGAAGCACTCTGCCCTTGTTGGAAGCACTCTGCCATGGTCTCAACCCCTGCGAGGGTTTACTGCAGTTCTAGCCTGATGTTAGGCTTGCTGCAGGAGGGATGAATCATTTTCTTTCCTTTTTTAGGATTTAAACGTGGATGAATTTGAAGAAATATTCAAAACAAAAGCCCAGGGCCCAGCCATCGACCTCACCTCCAGCAAGCAGAAGATCCCTCAGAAAGGGTCGAGCAAAGTCACGCTGCTGGATGCCAACAGGGCCAAAAACCTTGCCATCACTCTGAGGAAAGCTGGCAAGACAGCAGATGAGATCTGCAAAGCTATCCACGTGTAAGTAACCCCCTGGTCAGCAGGGTCTGGGGTCCACTGGGACTTCTGCTGAGCAAAAGGGTTTTGACTTGGCCGTTGGTGTCGGTGTTTTTGCGTCAGGGAAAAAAATCCAAGAGTTAGGATGGAACCCTTCTGAATCCCCAGAAATCAGATTGCTTTGAGCTAAAAGATGAACCTGGAGGTTTGGTGTGGCCGTGTCAGTGTTTGGGCTTCACAAATTAACACTCCTTTCACTAATGAACCTGATCCACGTGTCTCCAGGGGCCGCGCTCGGCCCCTCTGCTCAGCGCCTGCTCTCGGGAGCAACACTGGAAAACCAAAAGGTTTTTGGGAAGAGGCAACTGTTTTGTGTGCTCCAGAAACTACAGCTTAAATCTGAGGAGTCTGCAGAGAACTGGGTTTGTGCCAACCCCTGGTGTGATGCAGAGGGAGGTGCAGAGCCTGCCTGAGGAGGGGCCCTGGCAAACATCTGCCCTTTCTCTGTTAGGGGATGTCTTCAAAATCTGGGTGCACCTTTGGGCTGGGGAGGAGGGTCACCTAGAGCTGCTGCAGACTGAGGCAGGTTCAGATGTTCAGCTCTGGCCCAGTTAAATAAACTCTTTCCTCCTCCTCACCCATCTTCTCTGGTGGAAGTGAGCTGTGGCCATGGAAGAAGTGGGTCCAGAGAAGGGCAGCGAGGCTGGTGAGAGGGGTGGAGAACATCCCCTGTGGAGCCTGCCTGAGGGAGCTGGGGTTGTTCAGCCTGGAGAAGAGGAGTCTGAGAGGTGATCTTATTGCTCTCTACACCTGCCTCAAAGGAGGTCATAGTGAGGCTGGTGTTGGTCTCTTCTCCCAAATGACTGATGCTAGGACAAGAGGAAAGAGCCTCAAGTTGCACCAGGGGAGGTTTCAATTGGATATTAGGAAGAATTCCTTCACTGAGGGAGTGGTCAGGCACTGGAATGAGCTGCCCAGGGAGACAGTGGAGTCTCCATCCCTGGAGGGGTTCAACAAACAAGTAGATGTAGCACTTGAGGCTGTGGTCTAGAAGTTAGGGAGATGTTAGGAGGAAGGTTGGACTTGGTGAGCCTGGAGACCCCTTCCAACCATTGCAACTCTATGATTTCCTTGCAGACCTTTGTCATAACTCCTCTTCTTTGGGTTTGGTCTTCAGGTTCGACCTGAAGACGTTGCCAGTGGACTTTGTTGAGTGCCTGATGAGGTTCCTGCCCACGGAGAACGAGGTGAAGGTGCTGCGGCTCTACGAGCGGGAGAGGAAGCCCCTGGAGAACCTCTCTGATGAGGACAGGTTCATGATGCAGTTCAGCAAGATCGAGAGGCTCATGCAGAAGATGACCATCATGGCCTTCATAGGCAACTTTGCAGAAAGCATCCAGATGCTGACCCCGGTGAGCGAGGGGCAACCCTTGGGGGACACCAGGGCCAACAACGGGGAGAGCCCAGGTCCAGTCTCTACCCTGGACTGCTCCCTGTGCTCCTTGTTCTTCACCCTGTAGAATTTAAGACAGGTTTAAATGAAAATGTGGTTGTTTGCATCATCAGGGAGGATTCTCATCAGTGCTGGTCCGTGGGCTCTTTGAAGCCTGTCCATGTGTCCTTCACCAGTGGAAGGGTTGAGATGGAACTATGCTCTCACCCAGCCACGTCTGAGTGGGGTCCATCTGCCCTGCAGATGGGTTGGTTGAAGTCCTGCTCTGTCCAGGCAGGAGAACGTTGGTGCTAGAACCACAGGATGGATGTAAAATGGAGCTTGGTTCCAGAATGTGAGTGTTGAGGCTTGAATTTCACCCTTGGGTTGGGTGTGCACTAACCAGAGCTCTTCCTGTCTTCACCTGCAGCAACTTCACGCAATAATAGCTGCGTCTGTCTCCATAAAGTCATCCCAAAAGCTGAAGAAAATCCTGGAGGTAGGTCTGGTTTTAGATACCTTCAGTAGGACAGCTCCAAGCTGCGTGGTGTGGTCGCCATGCTGCAGTGGAAGGGATCCATCCAGAGGGACCTGGGCAGGCTGGAGAGGTGGGCACATGCCAACCTCATGAGGGTCAACGAGGCCAAGTGCAAGGTCCTGCACAGGGATTGGGGCAACCCCCAGCACAGGTCTGGGCAGAGAATGGACTGAGGGCAGTGCTGAGGAGAGAGGTTTGGGGGGCTGGCTGGTGAAAAGCTCAACATGAGGCAGCAACCCAGACACCCCAACCCTGTCCTGGGCTGCCCCAGAGGGGATCCCGCCCCCCTAGAATAGGGTTCTCTAATTTTTATTTTGTAAATCTGAGCTAAGAATCCTCAGCCCAGCAGAGCCAGGGAGCTGCTGGAGCGGGGCCAGAGGAGCCCCAGCAATGCCCCGAGGGGGGAACCCCTCTGCTGGGAGCCCAGCAGGAGAGAGTTGGGCTGGGGCAGCTGAGAGGAGAAGGCTCCAGCTGGGGAGACCCCCTGGGGGCTGCCAGGGCTTCAAGGGGCCTGGCAGAAAGCTGGGGAGGGACTTTTTGTGAGGGCTTATAGTGACAGGATGAGGGGTGGTGTTTTTGAAATGGAAGGGGGTAGATTTAGATTAGATGTTAGGAAGAAATTCTTCCCTGTGAGGGTGGTGAGCCCCTGGCCCAGGGTGCCCAGGGAAGCTGTGGATGCTCCATCCCTGGAGGTGTTCAAGGCCAGGCTGGATGGGGCTCTGAGCAACCTGCTCTAGTGGGAGGTGGTCCTGCCCATGGCAGGGGGGTGGAACCAGATGATCTCTAAGGTCCCTTCAACCCAAACCATCCCATACACATACTGACACCACTCCTGGGTGCTGATGCACCAACTCCCCTTCCAGAGGTTTCCAAAGCACCCTGTTCCTCTGACAGTTCCTGCTCTGTTCTCTTTCCTCCTGGCAGATCATCTTGGCTCTTGGCAACTACATGAACAGCAGCAAGCGAGGAGCTGTGTATGGATTTAAGCTGCAGAGTCTGGACCTGGTAAGCAAACTGGAGGTGCCTTGTGGGGACTGGGTGGAACTCGGTGTCCTTGAGCACTGGCTGCTGGGGTGCTGGGTCAGGGCTTTGCTTTTTGGTTTTGGGGGGCTGCTCAGGAGAAGGCACGTGTCTTCAGAGGCTCTGCAGACCACAGCTTGAAAACTACCTGCTAAGCAATTAAATGTTTGATAGGACAAGAGGAAACGGCCTCAAGTCACCCCAGGGGAGGTTGAGGTTGGCCCTGAGGAACAATTTCTTGCCCTGGAGGGTTGCCCAGGGCTGTGCCAGGCTGCCCAGGGCAGTGGTGGAGTCCCCACCCCTGGAGGGGTTTCCAAGCCGTGGAGATGTGGGGTGAGGGACACGGGGCAGTGGGGACCTGGCAGGGATGGGGGAATGGGTGGACTGGATGATGTGAAAGGTCTCTTCCAACCCAAACAGTTGTGTGATTAGATGAGCTCTCACAGCCATCCCTGCCAGATGGAGACACCCCAGGGGAAGGTGAGCAGGGCTTGTGGAGCCTGCTGCACCCCCCCCCAGAGCCTGCTCTGCCTTCTCTCCCCAGCTCCTGGAGACCAAGTCCACAGACAGAAAGCAGACCCTGCTGCACTACATCTCCAACGTGGTCAAGGAGAAGTACCAGCACGTGTCCCTCTTCTACAACGAGCTCCACTACGTGGAGAAAGCTGCTGCAGGTGCCACCCCTCTCCCCTCTGCCCGCCCACTTCCACCACCACGCCTGGGCTGGGGGGGAGGCTCTTCAGGGTGGGGAGCTGCTCAGGGTGGGGGTTCAGGGGCTTCCACAGCACCAGCCATGCAGCAGCTTTGGGTTTTTGCTTCTCAGTGTCTCTTGAGAACGTCCTCCTGGACGTGAAGGAGCTGCAGAGGGGCCTGGACCTGACGAAGCGTGAGTACACCATGCACGACCACAACACCATGCTGAAGGAGTTCATTCAGAACAACGAGGGCAAGCTGAAGAAACTGCAGGATGATGCCAAAATAGCCCAGGTATTTGGTCCTGGCCGTGGTCAGGTGTGGGTGACACACAGTTTTTAGCAGGGTCTGTTGGGACAGGACAAGGGGGGATGGTTTGAAACTAAAAAGGGGGAGATTCAGACTAGAGAGAAGGAATTTTTGATGCTGAGGGTGGTGAAACACTGAGGACACAGGCTGCCCAGAGAGGTGGTGGCTGCCCCATCCCTGGTACCATCCCAGGGGAGGTTGGATGAAGCTCTGAGCACCCTGCTGGTTGGACCAGATGCCCTTGAAAGGTCCCAACCCTGTCTGTGGTTCTGTGACCTGCCAGTCTCAGCCGAGGGTTTCACACAGGGTGGAAATCTGGAGCCTTTACCCTGGATGCTGCAGCAGTGGCTGGTGAGTTTCCCCTGAAGGAGACACAGCCCAACAGCTCTGTGCCTTTTGCAGGATGCTTTTGATGATGCTGTGAAGTACTTTGGAGAGAATCCCAAGACGACTCCCCCGTCCGTCTTCTTCCCGGTGTTTGTCCGCTTTGTGAAGGCCTACAAGGTAAAGAGGAGCACAGTCTGCTCTTCTCCTCTCCCCTCCAGAATCCACCCTGGTGCCTGCTTGGCTCAGGGCTGCCAGCAGAGCAGCCTGGAGCTCCCTCTGGCTTTGCCACCCTGCCCAGCAGCTCAGCCCCTCCACCCCTGGGGCACCACAGACGGTGGTTCCTTTGGGAACGTCCTCAGGGCTGTCTGAGGTGGATCCTCAGGGGTGAAGTGTCTGGGTGGCTGCAGCTTTCCCCGTGGGGCTGGGAGAGAGGGGGTTGTGTGACCTGGGAAGGTCTCTCCCAGCCCATATTGTTCTCAGAGGTGCCAAGAGGCCACACCTGAGCTTGGGAAGCCCTGTGGTAGCACGTCCTGGTGCTGCTCACGTGCAGAATTTGGGCTCTGCGTGGCAGTTGGAAGCTATAACCTGTGGTGGGTTTTGTGTTCAATAGCAAGCAGAAGAAGAGAATGAGTTGAGGAAAAAGCAGGAACAGGCCTTAATGGAAAAACTCATGGAGCAGGAAGCATTGATGGAGCAACAGGACCAAAAGGTATGGAACAGAAACGTCTCACAGGCTGGGCTCAGCGTGTTCATGGGGTTCTCCTGGTAGCCCTGAAACCTCAGCTCTGTGTTAGAACTTCAGCTGCTCAACATAAAAATAGAGTCTCTGGAAGTTCTCTCCTTAGGTGGAGAGAATTTGGAACTCTGCAAAGCTGAGAAAAGCCAAATAGAGTCACCTCATCTGCATCATCATTAGCTAAGCCTTGTTCTTCTCTGGCCTTGTCCCTGTTAAAACCCTGGCAGCAGGACTCAGCCCCACGGTACCATCCTGCAGGGATTTTCCTGATGTGATTACATCCTGAGGTGACATCTCAGACTTGCTGGAGGCCGTGTCCCATGGCTCTAAACCAGCTTTGTTGGCTGGTGCTCCTGCCAGCAGCTCCTGTTGGGCTCTTTAACCCCCGCCGAGCTTTTTCCCTCAGGACAGCCTCTTCTTCTCATTCCCCTCCTTTTCAGAGGTGAGAGCTTGGAGCTCCAGTTCCAAGTGATGAGGAGGTTTGGGGGTAGATGCCAAGGCTAAGGAACAAGCAGCTAGGCAGCCAGGGCAGCCCGTGACCCTGCCTGTCCCCTCTGTGGGATGTGAGCGAGCCCCACGCCTCTTCCTTCCCAATCTTGCCAGACTAGGCAGCAAACTGGCAGCTCCAGTGTGCTGAGCGTGGCCCAGGGGAGGTGCCCTGCTGCTCCACCACGGGGACAGCAGGAGATCAGCCCTTCCAAACCTCTCTCCTTTGCTTTCAGTCTCCTTCCCATAAAACCAAGAGGCAGCAGCAGGAGCTGATCGCGGAGCTCCGGCGGCGGCAGGTGAAGGACAACAGGCACGTGTACGAGGGGAAGGACGGGGCCATCGAGGACATCATCACAGGTAGGCACCTGCTCTCCTGCCACCCCAGGCACCCTGTCGAGGGTATGAACCCCTGGAGCTGCTCAGAAGCTGTTGCAGGAGCTTCTTGTTCCTCCTGAAGGAGCCTCACTCGAGCTTAGGACATGGGAGGTGTGAATCAAGTGGGGGAACCTTGGCTTGTGGGAACCTTGCTAGTGGTAGAGGTCCACCAAGCCCCTTTTAGGTGTCCACAGAGCTCAGGCACACACTCAGGGTCCTGGGTCTTCTCCATCAGCACGTGGGGACGTTCTCAGGTGGTTGGAGTAGCCTGGTCTAGACCAGTGCTCCAGTGGGGATGTCCATGGAGAGCACTCCCAGAAACCTGGGCTTTGCCCATAAATGGGATTAATGACAGAAATTGAATTAGTGGCAGCCATGCAGTGTGATTAAGAGCTTATGTCCTCCTCAGAACACACCACCAGTCACTGCACAGCCCCAGCAGGGCAGGGAGTCAGCCTGGAGTGGCTCTGCCCCTGGGCTGCTCTCGGGCAGGGAGCCACGGAGCCCGCAGAGGTGCCAGCCCAGGGCTGGACCCCACAGGAGCTGCTGCCACAGCCAGCCCCAGCCCGGGCTCTGGGCAGCTCCCTGGGGGGCACAGGGGCTGCTCCAGAGCTCTGCTTGCTCAGGAGATGGGTCATCAGAGCTCCACTGCTGCTCTGGTTCCACTGCACGTCCTTCTCCTCTGCTGTGGCAGGAACGTCCCTTAACACCTCAGTGGCTTTACAGTCACCTCTTTATGGGGCACAGACACTCCAAAAATAGGTCCTTGGACAGGAAAGCTGCTCCTGAGTGGTCTTCACACAAGTTTTTCCTGCAGGAAACCAGGGAAGGGGTTTTACCCCTCCCAGAGGAAAGCCAGGGAGGTTTTGCCCAACTAGATGAAACGCTTGAGGCTTTCAAACCCTTTTTAACCTTGATTAACAGCTTCCTAAGATAATATCCTTTTATTAATCGCTGTAATATCTAATCTGGTGCTGCTTCTGTGACTCCTTCAGACTCCTGGAAGCTCGTTTAATTGGTGAAGTGCTTCCCCTGCTCTGTGGGAGAAGCAGATTGTATGGTAGGAACCCAGCCAGGGGTACCAGGCAGTCCAGTGAGAGAGTGCCAGCTCCAAATGAAACCTGTCCTGTGGTCCTGTGCCTGGGGGTGTCTCTGGGGGCCTCAAGCTGTCTGATGAGAAAGGTTAGGCACAGAAAGTCAGGTAGGACCAAGGTCACATGAATACATCCCATGAGGTCGCTGTCAATGGGATGGAAATGATCCAGAGTGTCCTTTCAGATTGGGTAGTGACTCGTCAGGGGCAGGGGAGAGGAAGGTGAGAGAAGGAGGAGAGGAGAAGGCCCCAGGGACACCTTCTGGGGGCCTTTCAGTGCTTCAGGGGGCTTGTCAGAAAGCTGGGGAGGGACTTTTGAGCAGGGCCTGTTGGGACAGGACATGGAGGGATGGATTTAAAATTAAAAGAGGGAGATTTAGAGTAGAGAGAAGGAAGAAATTGTTGACCCTGAGGGTGCTGAGCCCTTGTCCCAGGCTGCCCAGAGAGGTGGTTGCTGCCCCATCCCTGGAACCATCCCAGGTGAGGTTGGCCGGGGCTCTGAGCACCCTGCTCTAG